TTACTTTTTTGTTTTTCCAGCTTAATCACTCCCTCACCCTCACCCAAACACCCCCAAGATTTTAGAGAAGGGAAACTCCTATGTCTAAAGCTGGTACAGTGGAAATTTACTGGCTAAGCTCAGTATCTTGACCTAATTATTCATTTATTTATCAACTGATGCTCCCCATAGCCTTTACCTTTTATTTTTCTGTATTGCTGTTATCATCATGTGATATGCCATACATTCTAAATTTGTTATTTATCTTCCACATTTGAATATAAGCTTCATGAGGGAAGGAACCTTGTTTCATTCATATCTATATTCCTAGTTCCAAGAGCAATGTCAGGTATATAGTAAATACCAAACTCAGTAAATATTTGCTAAATGAATGGATAATTGGACTCATCAAGTATTTACTGTGTACTTACCATTTGCCACATTTTAGGCTAGATGTTGGGAATACAGTGTGAGAAAAACAGTCATGCTCCTTGCTAGCATGGAGATCACTCTGTAGACATTAAGCTAACACATCACACAAATGTTTACAAATAATAAGTGCTAGAAAATAAAAAGACTGGGGACTACGACTTTAAATAGGGTGGTCAGTGTAAGCTTCATCGACAAGAAGACATTTGAGGAAAACCTGAAGGAGATGAGGGAATTAGTAAGAATATCTGGGGAAACATTCCAAGTGGAGAAACAATCAAAGGATAGTGCTAAAGAGAATGTTTACATGGAGCGTTTGGGAAGACAAGCAACATAGTGTAACTGGAACACAATGGGCAAAAAAAGTTTTAGACGGAGCCAGAGAAGGAATGGGGAAGAAGATCATGTACGACTTTTTTAAGGACTTTGATATTTTTTCCTCTGAGTGAAATAAGGAGCTCTTGCAGTGTTTTGAACTGAGCAATGATGTGAACTGTTTTAGGTTTTTTAAATAGATCTCTATAGCTGCTGAACTGAGGATAAACTAGGAATAAGAGTAAAAGTAGTGTTCAGATAGGAGGCTATTATAGAGATCTAGGAGGAAGTTAATGGTAGCTTGGATGGGGTATAGTTAAGTAGTAGTACCTGGGTGAGACGGATCAGATTCTGAATATATTCTGAAGATAGAGTTGATTAACTAATTAAAGAAATGAGTAGTTAATAACCTTCCAAAACAGAAAGCACCAGGCCTAGATGGGTTCAGTGGTGAATTCTACCAAAAATTTGAGAAAGAACTGATAGTAATTCCCTCTAATCCATGGGGGATACATTGCTAGTTCCTAAGTAGATGCCTGTAACCACAGATAGTACTGAACCCTATATATGCTATGCACAAATTTCTGTTTCCTTCTTCACAATTTCGTAGAAGATTTGTTTTAACTGTATATTTAAGCAACTTCAGCATATGCTTTTTTTCTTTCCTAATTAAGAACTTTCACTTTTTCACTTAAATAAAGCACTTTACCAAATTTAAGGCAACTTTCCCAATTGCCAGCATCACTGCTCTTGTGCTTTGAGGCCATTATTAAATAAAATAAAGTTTTATTTGTTTATTTATTACTTGAACACGAGCACTGCAATACTGGGACAGTCAAGCTGATAACCAAGACAGCGACTAAATGACTAGTGAGTGGGTAGTGAATACAGCACGTATACACTGGGCAAAGAGATTATTCATGTCTCAGGCAGGGCCAAGTTGGACAGTGCAAGATCTCAGAACAGTGTGCAAAAACTTAAGAATTGTCTGTTTCTAGAATTTTTCACTTAATAATTTTGGCCCCAGGGCAACTGCAACTGCAGAAAGTGAAACTTGCTGGCAAAGGGGCAATTACTGCAACTTGTCTTTTCCTCTGTGTGCTTTTAAGGTTTTTTCTTCACCACTGGTTGAAGCAATTGGATTATATAATAAACCTTTGTATAGTTTATTTCAAGTTTCTTTGTTTTAAGTTCTTTGATGTTCTTAGGTCTATGTCTTCATAATTTTCCTCAAAATTGGAAAAACTTGGAAAAAATCAAAAAACAAAATTGGAAATGAATATTTGGTCAATATTCATTTCTTTCCCTCATTTCTCTCTTCCCCTTCTGAGATCTCAATTTCCCATGTATCAGACTGCTGATGTTGTCATGAAGTCCAATTATGTTCTGTTAATTTTTCCTTCTTTTTTTTTCCACACTGGGTTTTATTGTGGATAGTGAGTATTTCTACATCTTCAAGTTCACTTGTCTTATTCTGTGTCTAATCTGTTATTGCTTCCATCAAAACTATTTTTCTTTTAGACACTGTAATTTTAAAATAAACTTTATTGGTAAAATAGATTCAGATTTACAGAAAAAATTGTAAAGATAGTACACAGACTCTCCATGTATCTCACATGCAGGTTCCCTTTTTATCAGCATCTTATATTAGTGTGGTACTTTTGCTACAATTAATGGAGCAATATTGATACATTATGATTAACGGAAGTCTATACTTTATTCTAATATCTTCAGTTTTTACCTAATATCTTCTTTTCTGCTCCAGATTCCATCCAGGCTACTACATTACAATTAGTCTTTGTGTATTTTTAGGGTTTTTTTGGCTTAGACAGTTTGTCAGATTTTTCTCATTTTTAATGACCTTGACAGTTTTGAAGAGCACTGGGAAGATATTTTGTAGAATGTCCTTCTACTATGGTTTGTCTAACATTTTTCTCACTATCAGATTGAGGTTATTTGTTTGGGGGAGAAGATGTATTTTTCATCTCTACAAATTACATTTTGGTCTTTTTATATCTTCCATATTTCTCATTACATTCATGCTTTCCTAAGCCTTCTTGAACATGTGAAGTGTGTTTGTAATTGCTCTTTTAATGTCCTTGTCTACCAATTATCTTTGTGGTTTATGAATATGCTTCTATTGATGGGTTTTTCTTTTAATAAGAAGTCATACTTTTCCTACTTCTTTTCAAGGCTGGAAATTTTTTGTATCAATATTGTTGATTGTTCAGGATTTTTTATTCTTTAGAAATTGGGAAGCCGGGCTCGGTGGCTCAGCCTGTAATCCCGCGCCTTTGGGAGGTTGAAGTGAGTGGATTGTCTGAGCCCGCGGGTTCGAGACCCGCCTGTGCAGGGAGACCTCATCTCTACAATAAATCAAAAAATCAGCCGGGTGTGGTAGTGCATGCCTGTAATTCCGGCTACTTGGAAGGCTGAAGCGGAAGGCTGACGCGGAGCCCAGCAGGTCGAGGCTGTGGTGGCCGGGAGCGGCCGCTGCACTCTAGTCTGGACGACGGAGTGAGACTTCAACTCAAAAAAAAAAAAAAACCAAAACAACAAAAAAAAGAAATTGGGGTGTTTTGTTCATGGATGTAGTTAAGTTGCTTAGACACATTTTGATTCTTTGAACATTTGGCCCCACTACAATGCAACATTCTTCTAAGGACTCCACCCAGGGGTCCCCAACCCCTGGACCACAAACTGGTACTGGTCCTGGCCTGTTAGGAACTGAGCTGCACAGCTGGAGGTCAGCAGCAGTCTGAGCGAAGCTTCACCTGTATTTACAGCCCTCCCTATCATTTGGATTACTTCCTGAGCTCTGCCTCCTGTCAGATACGCACTGGAAAGCCTGCTTCCATTTCCAACATCCCATCTTTGTTAAGCAGAGCTTTCTGCAGTGACAGCCACCAAAACAAGATTACAGAATAGACTGTACATAAGCAATATACTTCGGCTGTCACTGTCTCCCTTCACTCCCAGATGGGACGGTCTAGTTTCAGGAAAAAGAACTCAGGGCTCCCACTTATTCTGTATTATGGCGAGTTGCATATTTCATTACTTATTAAAACGTAACAATAACAGAAATAAAGTGCACAATAAATATAATGCACTTGAATCATCCTGAAACCATCCCCATTCCCTTACCTCGGGCTGCGGAACAATTGTCTTCCATGAAATCAGTCCCTGATGCCAAAAAGGCTGGGGACTGCTGCTTTACTCAATGCCACATTTGTTAGGAGGTCTTACTCACTGGCTGGTGGAAGCATGAAATAATCCTAACCCTAAGTGAGATCTAAGAATGCCTCTACCTCTTGCTTTTGGTGTTTCTTTCCTTGGCCTTGAGTGGTTTCTTCTAACAGATACATTAGCCAGTAGTCACATGAAGATTCAAAGGTAACTCTTGGAAATCTCCAGAGAGAGCTCCCCAAAGATTTCTCTCCTCTCTGCTCCTCTGTACTGTGTATCCTAATCTCCTTGGCCTTCCTGCACCAAACTCTCTCCCTTTAGCCCAAGGAGAATCCTGGGCTCTGTATGAATTTCCTCTTTCTATGCAATAAGCAAGGCTAACTTCATTTGCTTTTCTTATCTCAGGAATCACTGTTGCGTGCTGCTGGACAGTCCATGCTTGAGAACCACTGCTTTATGTGTTTTGTCCTGTTTTTTAGTTCTTTAAGGTGGAATGATAAATCTAGTCCTTGATAGTCTATAATGGCTGTAAGTGGAAGTTTTCTGCTTTGTCTTTTTATGGTTAAGAAGGTCCTTTGGTCTCAATAAAAGCGTTTCTTAACCCAGTCAAGCGATTATATTGATTGCTTCGCATAAAACCTTCTAAAGATAGATCTCTGTGTTTGGTATCCCAATAGAATACTGTATGGATAAAAAGTTGTCTTAGTCTGTCTGGACTGCTGTCACAAAATATCGTCAACTAGGTGGCTTAAACAACAGACATTTATTTCTCACAGTGCTGTAGTATAGAATGTCCAAGATCAAGGTGCCACAGATTAAGTTCTTGGTGAAGATTCTCATTCTGACTTGTAGACTGCTGGCTTCTTTGTGTACCTTCACATGGCAGAAAGAGGAAGCTCTAGTGTCTCTTCCTCGTCTCATAAAGGCACTAATCCCATCATGGGGGTTCCATCTTCATGATCTCATCTAAACACCTAATTACTTCCTAAAGGCTCCACCATCTAATGCCATAACATTGGGAATTAAGGCTTCACCATATCATTTGAGTGGGCAGGATACAAACATTAAGTTCATAACAAAAGTCAACTTACTTTATTTCATCTTGGTAACCCAAATCTTGATGGTTAAGCAATGTTTCCAGCAGGCTCAAGGTTAGATAGAATCCATGCTTTCCACATATAGCCCTGACCTGCAAATAAAAAGGATTTAAAGTTTCAGTGGAATATAATTAGTATTTGGATTTTCTTCCCATAATTAGAACTTATGTGATTTTGACAAAGAATTAATACCTAGGAGTGCATTCTACCATTGGGATACCATTTAAGACATCATTTAGGACAAGAACGTCCAACTCAGTGCTGTCAACAACAAATTTTTATTTAGTTGGCATACAGGTATAGTTTATTACTCAGAAGCCACTGGGCTTTGGGTTACATTTTTGTTAACCATGAGATGGCTGGTCAAGGTCTAGGGATAATACATCCTTCATTGTATAGGTAAATTGCTACACATATTTTTATCCTCCACTTTGATATACAAAGCAAGCTTGTTATATTAGCAGGGTTTATATGACCATCTACAGTTCATATATGACCAAACCAAGACTTAGAATATTAAGTATTTCCTTATTGTCACATAGCCAGTAAATTATGGAACTTAGTCTACAGATTTTTCTGAGATTCTTTCAACTTGTTTGCCCATTCACAATGGGTGATTGACAAGCACACCTGCCCACAATGCACTGAGTGTTCAGCAGTTTTTGACCCCCAAACGGCATGACCCCCATGCTCCGCCCTCCCTATTTACCTGATTTCACTCCAGAGACTTCCTCCCACTTCCCAGCTAAAAAAACCCTCAAAGGAAAACACTTTATTAATGTGAAAGAGGTGAAACAACATATGGCAAAAGCACTAAAAGGCATCAAATTTGATGAGTTCAAAAACTGTTTTGAATAGTGGAAAAAGTGTCTTGATAGGTATATTGTATCAAACCAAGAGTACTTTGAAGGTGACTGGAGTTTAAACATGTAAGAATAAATGCACAATATTTTATAAATTTATTCCTTTTTTTTGGTTCCTCCCTCATATTGTATAAAATCACCTTCAGGCTATGTGTAGAAGGTGTTTATGATGAAACATAATGAATTTCGTGTTTAGACTTGGGTCCTGTTACTAAGATATCTCATTATATATAGGCGAATATTTCAAAATCTTAAAGAAGTAAAAATCCAAAACACTTCTGGTCCCATGCATTTTGGATAAGGGTTTCTCAAACTATATGTTTAGCTACTGTTGTTTTGGGAGGAAGTTCAGTATAGAGACAGTATTAAGTATGTCCTTTTATACTAAGCTTTAATGTCATGGGACTTTGTTGACCCTGGAGAGACGATCTTTCCTGAAAAACATGTCTTTCATATACAAACCATTTCCTCCAAAGCAACTACTCCAACCACCTCCTCTACTGGGACTCTCAAAGGACCACTGCTCTCCTGTTTTAATTATTCCAGGGCCAGGTACAAAGCTCGCTGAATTTATTCAAGCTCATCAATACTAAGCCTGCTTACCCTGCTTTGTTCATTCCTTCCCAAGAAACTCACCATAAATGCTCTACCCACATTGCTCTTCCCTCCCTCTGCCTCCTGACCAACACTGGTGCTTCCCTGTGTGGCCATGCAGTGTATGGTGTGTCCCAATGTCTTCGTAACTGTGAGAAACAGACCATTTTTTCCATGGCAATTGTCTCCTGATCTAGATCAGGTCTCACTACCCCTGAATAATCATAAAACATTCATTTAAAAATGGTAACAAAAAGCACCTCTTAGTTTGTCTTTATGCAAGATTTCAAATCCGGGTTTGAAACTTGCATGTTAATTCCTAGGTTTGGAAGAGATACATCAGGGACGATTAAGAGGGGGAAGAAGGCTTATTTGAAACACGAAAAAATGAATAGAGTTTGACAGAAGAATAAGGAGTTGGGGAGAATTCCAGGCAAAGGAAAAGTGTGTGGAAACAATGGGTGAGAAGGAGCATGATACTTTTTCGAAACAGAGTGTATTCTGACATTATCCACTAGGCTATCATTTTATATCTCTTTCAGGCTGGGAGTAATGACCTGTTACTTGTTGAGCATTCCTAAAAGGCAGTGGCTTACTCATGACTAGAACTAGGTTTCCTTCCATTCATTTTCTTATCATCATTGCTTAACACAGTATTGAAAAATAAAGGATCAATAATTGTTGAATAAATAAATACATGAGTAAATGAGAGAATGAGTGAATGAAAGTCATTGAAGAGTGCAGTGTGTAAGAGAGGAGGTTGGCAAAAAACAAAGCTAGAGAGTTAGAAATTGGTCACATTATGCCATTTTACTCCACAAATAAGAAATGAGTTATCCTCATGATTAGAGCATATTGATGTATTTTTAAACACCCATATAAAGAGGTTATTCTAAAAACAGATCACTTACTTGTGGCAACACTGAATTTTGCTCTAGGTTAAGATGAACAGCAGATTAGAAATAGTATATCAGAGTTCCTAGAATTGATTAATAGCTGCTCACAGTATAGAGGAACACTGGGAACATCGACCAGAAAATCACAGCTATTTCACATTATTCAGGATTATTATTAAAGCCCTTTAAGGCATGAATATTCATATGATGACCCTTAGTAAGAAAACGCTTATGTGTTGTTTCTTCTATTTAATACAAGACAATTTAGAATCATAAGTAAATAAAATACATTGCCAAAAATGACATATAAAACAAATATTCATCTTCCAAAAAATGCTCCTCGAAAGAGGGGTACACACTGCCTCAACTTCCTCTTTCCTCATGTATAGCTCCATTCTCATTTTAGCTATCACTCTGTTAAACTATGTTCAACAAATTACTGCAGACCTTGTGGCCTTAAACTTAATGAATACTTTTCAGTTCTAATTATAGATGGTCTCTTTGCAGTACGAGGCATAGTTGATCATTCCACCCATCTCCAAACTCTCTTCCTTTCTGGCTTTCTTGACCATTTCCATGTCTTCTTTGAGTATTTCAAGTCTCCTTTGTTGTCTTCTCTTCTACCTAGTCCTTAGCAATGCGTGCTGTCCTCAGCCTTCTTCCCTTCTCACTTTCCATTATGTTCTTGATTAATATTTACCACTCCCATACTTCTACTCCATATTGAACAGTCTTAAATCAATATTCAGCTTTAACTTCTCTACCCAGATCAACATGTTTAAAACAGAACTCATCATCCTTTCCTCTACCCCTTCAAATTACTCCTTTTCTGTTTCTTGTCTCAGAGAATGGCATCACCATCCATCAAACTGCCAAAGTCAGAGTTTTAGGAGTCATTTTTGATTCCTCCAACTTCGAACCCTACATCCAATTACTTAGTCATGGAGACCTACTTTCCTATCTCCTTAACATCTCTATCCTCCTGTTACTTCCAGTTTTAAACACTCATGATTTCTTTCCTGGATTATTGAAGCAAGTTTCTAAAAGGTCTCTCTGTTCCTAGTTTTGCCTGCCTCTAACCAATTCCCCAATTTCTATTGGAATGTTATTTTTTTCAAATTTTAAATTTGATCATCTCATTCACTTGCTTAATATCCTTCAATGATTCCTTTGGACTTTCAGGATAAAATTCACACTCCTTAAAAAGATCCTTCATAAACTGAATCTTACTTTCCATTCTAAAGACAGTTTGAGCAGGGACTTACAGTTTCTTGAATTAGCAATGTTCTCTCTTATGTCAGTACTTTTATGTTACTCCTTGTACACAGAACACCTTTCCCATCTCTTCCCCTGTCCCTATCCCTTCTCCTCATTCTTTGTAAAACTTCCCTATCCTTTATGATTCAGTATTTGCATCATCCCTCTAGAGAGCTTTCAGGCTAGGCTACATGGGTGATTTTTTTCTCTGTGCTAAAAGTTATTGCCATCTCTGTATTTGTCACACAGAATTGTAATGATATGTTTAAAATGTTGCTCTCCCCCAGAGCTCCTGCAGAACTCTGATACCATAAAAGTCTATTGTCCTCAGTGCCCAGAACACATTGTGTGATTATTATGTTCAATGCAATAATGGATTAGACAAGCTATATTGATCTGAAGAATGGCTGTTTTGTTGGAGGAAAAAAATAATTCAAAGTTAATACAAATCTTTTTTTTATATAGTTTAAGAGTAGAGTGAACAACTACAGAAACAACTAAATATGAAAAGAGGAGGCTGGGTGTGGTGGCTCACACCTATAATCCCAGCACTTTGGGAGGCCGAGGTGAGAGACTTGCCTGAGCCCATGGGTTCGAGACCAGCCTGGGCAATTTGGTGAGACCTCATCTCCACAATAAATCACATAATTAGTCATGATGGTGCATGCTTGTAGTTCCAGCTACTTGGTAGACTGAGGTGGAAGGATCACCTGAGCCCAGTAGGTTAAGGCTGCGGTGGCCGTGAGCATTCCACTGCACTTCAGCCTGGGCAACAGAGTGGGGCTTCAACTCAAAAAAAAGAAAAAGAAAAAGAAGCCCAAGAAACTACAGAAGAAGGTCCTATAGGTCTAAGTCTAGTTCACTAAACTGGTATTCTAGCTATAAGCATGAACTTTACATCTACAAACCCTGGCTATCTCAGTAATGGATCTCCCTTTTGATGATAGTGAGGAAGCTGGGTGAAAATGAAGCAAAGAGGTAGAAAAACCTGTGTTCTAGCCAGCTCCCACTGGGAAGCAGATCTGGGTGCAGCCTTGGAGGAGTGTGTAATGTGAAGCAGAAAAAGAATGAGTTCAAGAGGTAAAGAATATGATTATGAATAAACAAGTCAAACTTAGAAAATTCTTAGGTACTACAGCCCTATTGAATCTACGCTCGACTTGGGTAATGGTCATATTAATTAATTAATAAATATACGGGCTGGGCTTGGTGGCTCAGCCTGTCATCCCATCTCTTTGGGAGGCCAAGGCAAGTGGATTGCCTGAGCCCATGGGTTCGAGACCAACCCAGGCAACTTGGCAAGTTTGGTTTATTGTCTCTACAATAAACCAAAAATTAGCCAGATGTGGTACTGCGTGCCTGTAGTTCCAGCTACTTGGAAGGCTGAGGTGGAAGGATCACCAGAGCCCAGCGGGTCGACACCGGGGTGGCCGTGAGTGTGCCACTGCACTCCAGGCTGGGCAACAGAGTGAGACTCCAACTCAATAAATTAATAAATTAGTTAATACATGTGGATCTGCATTGTCTCAGCAATCCTAGTACTAGCCATCCTTGCATCAGAGATGTGCTAGAGGAACGGGATAAGTCCACAGAATGAAGATGATAGCTACTTTATATGTCATCTGTGTATATATTATGTGTATAATTTTCTATATTGTTCTTTGCAAAAATGTTCAAAATCCCATTGATTTGAGTGTCAAGACCCATAGATTATCCTTTAAGACTGCATTTATTTATTGTGGAAGCTACAGATGCTCTGCCAATCCTCTGAAATGGTGGCTGTGTGGATGTGCTTTTTTATTTTTTATTTTCCTGGGGAGGGAGTGTGTACTTTTCATGGAAAAAAACAAGAAGTTATGCGATTCTCCTGTACCCAAAGGCAACTAAGAGCTACTGGTCAAAAATAAAACAAAACTCCTCTAAACTCAGACATGATCTTTCCCAGTCTACTCTAAAATCCTGTGTCCAGAAGAAAGGTAGTTCAGGTATGACTGTTGCTGCTTCCTGTAGCCAGTGTCCCTTGGACTTCAATTTGACTCATGCTCTGGGGAAACAGGATTCTATTTTACATGCCTCTCAGAACTGTAATGTGCTCGGAGTGAATTCCAGATGTGTAAGAGATGCCAGATGACTCATGAAAGACAGACCACCTCCAAGAAAAATGTGCCCCATTTCCTTGGATCTGAACCACAATGTTAAGCTTTTGTGACCAGCTGTGGGGGGAGAGAACATTCAAGGTTTACTCTAATAGCCAGAGCTTCATGGGGCCATCACTTGGCCATGGGAAAGGTTCTCCATTCCCAGATCATTTTGAAGTGAGATTCTCATTAAACACTGATTTTTTTTAATAAGAAGAAAAGGACACTAATAATTTAGTGAGGGCCTTGTAAATCAGATAGTATGCTAGATGCCTTCACATATTTATTTAATTTAATCCTCACATAGATACAGGAAGTAGATATTTGGGACCCGGTTTTTCCAGTGGAAAATCTGAGACTCCAAGAGGTTTAGTAAATATATTCTAATTTTCAAATTGTTTATGTTCCATTCTATGAGTATCATCTAAGAGCATTCACGCTTCATCATTGTGCCATGTGGTTTCTAATCTAACAAAGAATTGCTGCTTCTCAGTCTATTCCTGCAGATCTTTTCATAAACATAGTAAAGGCCACTTGTGACGTGTGGACTCTTTTGCAGTGTTCTCTCTTTCCTGTGAAACATGCTTGCACATATAATATTCACACACACACACACACACACACACACACACACACACACACACACACACACACACAGTTGATGTCAAATATAAAAGCAAGGTGAAAGATGCGCTTGTCCTAGAATAAAAACCCGCTTTCAGCACATTACATCCTTGTTTCCTTAGTAAACATCCCTGTTCTTTTAAATTCTCTGACTCCCTCAGTTCTTACCCACGTTTACTTAGATGAAAGGCATTTTCTGGTCTTTCCAACAGGACTTTTTTTTAACCTGTTATTTCTACTTCTTTCCAATCCTCTGGAATTCTAATTCTTGTACATTGGTCTCAGTAGAATCTTCCAGATAATTTCTACCCAATGAAATTCCAATTCCGGCTCTCAATTTCCAGAACTCTTCTGTACTTTGAATCCTGGCTCTGTCATGTGTTACCTGTGGCCCTCGGGGAATTCAACTGGCCTTTCTGAGACTCAGTTTTTCAGTTATTAAATGAATATAATAGCATCAACCCAGGGTTTGTAACATTTTATAAGGACTTAACTTTGTGTTATATGAGATAATATAAATAAAGCATTTAGAACAGTGCTTGGCACTTAGTAAAAAGTCAAGAAAGTGTGGTGGTGATGAGGTATTATTAATGGAATTATAGGGATGGTGGTAATTATTATTTCACCTCCAACCAAGATAGCCCTATGATTGAGTTTATTTGGCTACAGCAGATCCATCAGTTAATATGGTTCTGAATCCTCATCCATGAAACACTCTGCACTGTTAATTAATTTTCCAAAACAGCATGCCAACTTCTATTGACAATAAATTACACCTGTCCCTAAAATTTGGTGTTCCTAAGGAATGGGAGATCACATGCTGATCTTGCTGGAAGCTGAGAGAAGGTGTGAGAAATGAACATTTGGCCTTGGAAAAATACTTGCTTTCCATTATAAAATATCATTTGAGTATTGTCATATTCCCTATTATTAGCATAAAACAGGGCTCAATATAAGTAATTCTTTGACCAATTTCACAATTCCTGCCTATTTCACAATTCCTTTTCTGTTTTATTTTTCTCTTCTCAGGCACAGAAAACAAACAATTGTGTAATATAATCCACACGCAGAATACAGATCACCACTGTGTTTTATTACTATACACCTGATGCCCTAAGGTAGGCTTTTAGAGAGGAGCAAATCTGAAACAGAACTCGGGTTACCTTGGGTGGAGGGAGGCAGCCAGAGAATGAGCGATCTTCCTTTCGAAAGCTCAGATTGAGGTTCTCTATGTTGAGTTTGCCATTGGTTGTCTTCAGTGCCATCTTTAGAATCTCCAACAGGCTCTTGTTTAGTTCTTGCTGTGAGCTGGAGTCTTGGGGTGGAGTGCTGTTTGGAGGGGGCAGTGAAAAAGTTATGAAAACATGAACCTCTTAAAGCAGCTGCAAGCTTTCATGCTGTGTCTCTCATCTCTGCTACACACTGGAACCAGAGAACCCACTCATGAAGACCTTCTCAGTCTTAGTAACCTGGTCGTACAAGTGTATATGGAATTTCCTACATTAACTGGCATCTACTCCATCTAAATGAGCTCTACAGTCTCTTCTTAGGAGGTAATCCAATGACTACAGCATAGGCCAAAATTCTAAATCCATCTTTTTGACTCTTTTTTCCAGGCTGAGAGGGAAAAAAAAGTAATCACAGTAGTTTACCTGCTTGATCTTACTCTTCTTAAACTCAGATAATTACTGATGGTAAATCAAATTCCAAAACTACCCATTGTCACCAGCAAAGCAAAGATCTCTGTAACCAGGGAACATATATAGTATGAAATCTTGAACCAGGTAAATTTCCTGCATTAACCTTAACTCTAATCTTTATATATGAAAAACCCCAAAATGTTTGGAGTCATTATTTACTTAAAGTCTGGCATGCAAATATATGTAATTATTAGAATGGTTTATCTAATTATTGTTACTTTAAATAATAGGTGAAAAAAAGGGGGTGAAAATTGTTATAGTGATTTATTTTACAAAATCAGTTTGAGATGTTTGCTCATTTAACAGTCAAATTTATAGGCCCCTCCAGATTCAGTTGAACTGCTGTTTCATCAGTGAAGAGTGTCCTGTTTTTCACTGACTCAACTTAAATGCCCAATTACCTAGAGGGACGGTCTATGACATTCCTCCAACCTCTACTCATCTAAGTTGGTTTTCTTTCAGTGGTATGCTGGTATGTCTTTAACAACCAACTCTCCAAGATAAAGCCCTGATTGGTTGCATTGCCAATTTCCCTGGTGTAAATACTCCCACTGTGACTGATTTCTAGGTACCAATGTGACATTTCTGAATGAGGAGTCGGGAAGAGTTGTGCATCATTGGCCTTCAGTTCGGGTTCCAGTGCACCCCTGCTTGATATACTCTTTCGTAGTACTTTGTTCTTTTCCTTAATAGGTCTCTATTATAATCACATCTCTATTTCCTTAGTAATTGTTTCAAATCAGACTTCCCTAGTAGACTGCTCTAAGAGGTCAAGTCTCTTTTGTTCTTTACTATTTCTTACGGATCTTGTAGAGGACCTGGTATTGGTTTATTTTAGATATATATAACTTTGTCTAAAGGTAACATTATTCCTTTTTTTTCCCTCTGTGAATCTTACACAAGGTTTGACACAAAATTATACTATTCTAAACTTCTCAAGAATACATAGTGTTTTCCAAAAGTTTGGAATGGGAAGGCATAGTGAATGTGTGTCTTTATCCCGGTCACCAGTTTCCCCTGTTCAGGGAGTTTCCCAGCTCATGCGATAATATTCCTTTCTCTGTAGCACAGGAGAATGCCAACTCTATGCTTTACCAGTCTCTCTTTGTTGCTAGGGCACATGACCCAGATTCTGCCAATCAGATGTCTCTAGTCCAGATATGAATCAGACGTTTTCCTTTCTCTTTTTTTGCAATGCCAGTTCTTGGGGGTAGGCCTTCATGAGGCTTTGGTCCTTTTGTTCAGTACACCAAGTACTGAATGGGCAAGTGTGTATGGAACCCATTTACTGCAGCTGGTAGGGGTTCTTAGCCTGTTGCAGGAGTTTATTTCATCAGGTCCAACTTAGGAGATGAGAACTGTTGCCACCCAGCTGCACTGGTGATGCTGGAACCTTTTAAAACTTCACAAAGCTAACCTACTAGAGGCTCTACCTGACAGACCATGGGAAGAGGATTTTTCTGAGCCACCTATTAATTAATAAGAGCCCGGTTTTATTACAGGTTATCAGTCTTGCACGCCTATAGACATACTGTCTGGTTTACATAAAGTTGCACCTTCTTTGATGAACTCAAAATGATCTCTTTATGCACCTTTATTATAGAGCAGATATCCAGGTATCCCTGCAAGTGAAGTGATGTGAGCTCTTTAGATAGTTGGAGGTGCCAATCACATTCAACAAATATTGAGCATCTCCTATATACCAGGGACTATACTAGATCTATGCTAGACACATAGCTGACCAGGAGAGACATCATTCCTAACCTCAAATAGCAAATAAATAACTACAAATATGATGGCTGTTATGAAGGGTAAGAACTATGGGACCACATAACAAGGAGATATAACCTAGTCCAGAAATCAGCAAAGGCTTCCTGTCTAGGACTCATAAGACCTTATCTGCCAGTGAGTGGCCACGTGTTCCACAATATAGTCTATCACCTCTCATGGCCAAAACTTCACAGTATATATTATGTGAAAGGTGGCTGCTGATTATGAAAACTTTCTAGAGCTTTATGGCTCTCAGTAAGACAGTTGCTCCCAGAGTGATACTTGACTAAAGTACCCACATGGCGGTATCATTTTCTTTGGGCTGCAAGCCCTAGAAAAAGACTGAGTCTTTCCAACCCTGGAATTCACTGTGCCTAGTAAAGTGAGTCTGACAGGCAGTTGATATTTAACAAGCATTTGTTAAATGAAGTATCACAGTGTAAAAGGGTACAGTGTAGGAAGGAATCGAGTGTACCACTGTTGCCCAGGGACATTTTCCCAAGAAACCCTACCTTTTTCCTAGAGTGAAGCACTTAACTGTAATGTCATGTGCTCATAATCACTATGTCATATTATTTATAACTGAAAAGAGAGTCTTTCAGAAAAATAGTCTAAAAATAGTAAAAACACTTATATAGCACTTTCTATGTACCAGGCACTGATTATCTTAGAACTCTGAATTTATTAACCTAGTTACTCTTACAAATCAATGGAATGAAGTCTATTATCCTCTTTTTACAGTTGGAGAATGGAAGCACAGAGAGGTTAAGTGAATTGCCAAGGTCATGCAGCCACTATGTGGCAGAGATGACTTGAATATGGGCTACTGCAATGGAGGCTATGCTCTTAACCATGGCACTTTGTCACTTTTCATGGTGAACATAGATATCATACTTTACTGTGCCTCATCTCTAAGGATATTCCCCACATCCTATTTTTATTTTGAGTCATTTCTTTCCCTTGAGATTATATGAAGGGATTATTGATTCCTGTACCTCACACCTTTCTTTGCTAGTGCTGAATGGGTTTCTGGAATCACACTATCTAGATGAGCTCTGTTATATACAATATCTTATTTCATAACGAGGCTTTTCATTTTCACACAGCAACCTCATAAAAGCATACATGCTTGATGTTAAAAAAACATATGCAATTGCCACAGATAACTTTCTATGCTGGCCTGCGTACAGGAGAGAAAATGTGAAGCATAAGCCACGTGCTGGTGAAGAGCAACATGATTCTGCATTGAGGGAGGCTTTAGAGTGAATGCCTCCAAGATCCCTGCCAGCTCTAGGAGTCTAGTACGATGGACTGAATGTTTATGTCCTCCAAAGTTCATACATTGAAACTTAATGCCAAGATGAGGTATTAGAAAGTGAGGCCTTTGAGAGGCGATTAGGTCTGAAGGCAGAGCCCTCAAGAGTGGGATTCGTGCCTGTCTTCATTTATTTTGTGCTGCTACAACAGAATACCTGAGACTGTAATTTATAAAGAACAGAGATTTGTTTATTACAGTTCTGGAGGTTGGGAAGTCCAAGGTTGAGAGACCTACATCTAGCAAGGGCTTTCTTGCTGCATCATTCATAGTGGAAGGCAGAAGGGCAAGAGAGGGCAAGAGTGGGATCCAAACTTACTTTTATAACAAACTCACTCTCCTGGTAACTAACTCAGGCATGAGATAATAACATGAATCCATTCATGAAGGCAGAGCCCTTTGACCTGCTTCTTATAAGGTCCCATCTCCCAACACTGTTGCATTGGGGATTAAGTTTCCAACACATGAGCTTCGAGGGATACATTCAAACCATAGCAGTGACCTTAAAAGAAAAGGCCAAAGAGCTAGCTAGCTCTCTTTGTGCCATGTGAAAATTCAGGGAGAAGTCAATAGTCTGTAACCCAAAAGACAGCTCTCATCAGAACTCAACCAGATTAGCACCCTGATCTTGAACTTTCAGCCGCCAGAACTGTAAGCCATACATTTCTGTTCTTTATAAGTCACCCAGTCTATGGTGCTTTTCCCCCAGCAGTCCAAACAAAAATATCCAGGAATAATATGCCTGCAAAAGGGGAGAAGGATACCTTTGGCCATGATTGCGATAACTCTCAATTTTCCTCAGGTTTCTGTCCTCAACTGCTTTGCTTTGCTGTAGATTATCCAAAGCTGCATGTGTTAAAAACCAGAGTAGCTTTCCATAATTCACCTGAAAATAGAATAGAACAGCCTCACTTATTTACATATAAGGGAAAGAGGCCTGCTGAGATAAAATGTATTTGGAAAACGTTTACCATTAAAAGTTTTAAAGACCATTGAAAAAATACAGTATCATAATTATTAGTGCTTTTTACTAAATATTCCTATTATTCTCCCTTTGGGACAAATAGTAAAATTGTACTTCCTGGTTGCCTTGTGGTTGGGTAGGACCATATGGCTAGTTCTGGCTAATGAGTTGTAAGTAGAAGAGACATGTGCCAACTCTGGGTTGAGGATTAAACTGCTGATGTGAAATCCACAGTATTCTTTTTCTCCCTTTCTGCCATCGTGTCCCAAAATATCTTATAGTGGCTGTTTCATCAGCTTGGTTCCTGGCGCTAACATACTGACAATGCTTGGAAGGACCTGTGGCTGGCTCTATGGAAATGTAAATGAAAAATAAACGTTTGTTATTTTAAGCCACTAAGATTTCGAGTTTGTTACTATAGCATAACCTAATCTCTAGTCCTCACACCCCTTGTTCTTTCTTACATTCCTAATGTATATTTATTATACATAAGATGTTTTCAGCAGGCATATCCAGATCTACTTAGATGTATTCAACAGATATGTTTAGATAATCTGAAGACACGACTTTATTAGGCTAGGTAAAAAACATCTGAAGACCTTTGTCCTACCTAGGAAAGGACTGAAGGAATGTCACCCATTTCCATTGCTTGGTCTGGATGCTATCCTAGGGACTCTGAGGGGTGGACAACTCCAGGGTAGTGGAAGGGATAGCAGGAGGAGAGGGAAGCTAGGTAGAGAAACTAGATCTCCAACCAGAAAATTTGATTGAACTGAATATTCATCTAGGTTGTCATAAGTTGCTATTGCATGACTAAATGCATCTCATAAACATATAACAAATTCTACTGGCTTGCATTTATCACATTACTAAATCCTATGATTTAGTAATGGCTTGTTTTCTAGACAAGATCACTGAGGCATCAGAGTTAATGATGGTAGTATTAAGGATTAAAGCTCAGGCCTTCTCTTCTGAGGTTTGTGCTCTCTGCCTATTGCCTTACTACTGATACATGCTCACTAGTGATTGTCCCATTGTTATTATTCCTGCCTATTTTAGGGTATATTCCCTTGGACCACACTTTATATTCAGCCAAAGGTGTGAACTTGGAAAGTGCTGTGCCCAAAGAACCCTGGGCTTGTCATTGGTGGATCTGTTTCTCCTGGGTACTCTGAGCAAGTTCCTGGACAACATTTGGGCTTCAGTTTTTTAATCAGTAAATTTCAAGATACCTTCCACGCCTAACATTCTAGGAAACTGTAATGACACATAGAAGATCTTAATCCAGTTCTCCATTTGTTCCTTGAAGCTTGCAGACTAAGCCAGCTCACAAATGAACCCAAGTGGCCCATTTTCTTGAATCTGTAACTACCCTAAATAGTGTTAAGAGCAGACAACGTAAGTTGGGACAGGAAAGTCCTTTAAAGAGAAATTAGCTGAGGTGAGTGGATTGCCTGAGCCCGTGGGTTCGAGACCCGCCTGGGCAGGCGAGACCTCATCTCTACAATAAATCAAAAAGTTAGCCGGGTGTGGTAGCGCGTGCCTGTAATTCCAGCTACTCGGAAAGCTGAGGCGGAAGGATCGCCGGAGCCCGGCAGGTTGAGGCTGCAGTGGCCGGGAGCGGCCACTGCACTCCAGTCTGGGCAACAGAGTGAGACTCCAACTCAAAAAAATAAATAAATAAATAAATAAAGAGAAATTAAATAGAGCTAAGAAACCTAAACCTATTTCTATTCTATTCTAATTAGAAGTTTCTACATAGGAATAGAAATCTTTTATCTTAGGGGTCAACAGTAAAGGTCATTTTCAAGAAAGGAGCTACCTCTTAATTCTATTACTCTGGAGGGTACAGTTACAGGAAACAAAAGGAAACCACATCTAAAATAGAAAGATGGCCATACCATTTCAGGAGAGCCCCTTCTAGAAAATCTCTGGCAAAGGATCTTGATTGTTGGCAACTGTAGAGGGATTTCATGCCTTAAGAAGAGGCGGCTCAGCTGAGATTGGAGAAGAAATCCTGAAGAGATTGGGTCCTGAAGCTTCAGCTCTTTCTGAAGCTTATCTAATAAGCTGGAACTCAAAGGACGTGATTTCAGCTCTCTTCTGATCAGGGCAAGAAGAAAAGTGTCTTCTCTCCTTGTCCCACTCAGCCTCTGGCCAACATCCTAACACAACAATGAAAAACAAACAATAGGACTTTACAACAAGCAGGTCAAAGGCCAAGGCAAGGAAGAAGAAATGCACAGGGGCTGGTGTCTGTGCATCCATTCTCGGGCCTGACCTGGAACAGGACAAGTCGGTGGCACTGAATGTGAGCATTTGGTGTGGTGAATTCATTGGCTTACAATGCCTCAAATCTCTTCCTTCGTGAGAAGAAAGAAGACAAGCCTTCTTCGAGAACATGTTCTGGTAGAAGGCTCTGTAATATACATCATCTGTCTTTTGCAAAGTCACTGTTTTGGTGGTATAAGAATTTAAAATAACACACATTAGATTTCTATTGGATCTGAGAGTTTAGTGCTGGGGGTGCAGATGAAGGATGGTGTCCAGATCCTGCCTGAGTTATCTAGGAGCTTAGTAACCCTAGAAAAGGGGGAAGGTGGGAGGGAGATGGGTTCAGTTGAGATACTTAGGATTTGCCTATGAACTACCCAGGGAGGCTTTCTGGAAAGCTGACTAGATATACAGAGTCTGGTGTCCATCTCAGTCCATTCTCAGACTGTCCTGTCATCTGTTTCACATAAAAAAAATTAGAGACAATAAATAATACCCCTTCATCCACAATAGAAACAACTCAACAACTCTTAGTATACACACCTCAGGCTGATCAGAGCTGCCTTTCGCCATCTGTTCCAAAGACCAGTCTCTAAGCTTTCTTTGGGGGAGGCCATGCACATAGGATAAGGACTGGTCTCCAGTTGGCACAGAGCAGCAATGGACATTTGCCTGATGGGGAAACTTAAAGACAAATGGGATCAAGGGGCAGAAGAGGGGAGAGGGAACAGAAAGAGAAAAGAATGGAGAATATGAGCAAACCCACAAATTTCTACAAATAAGTTCTCAGTTTTAAGTTAACTTCAACCCACATAGTTATCAAGTTGTGGCAGGATACTTAGTACGGCTTAGGCATAGATAGATACATTTCTTTTAGGTAGGTTTTAGGAAGCATTCAGACATTTTTCTTATTACCTCTATATTGCAGGCCAGGCTGGAATGTGGACCTGCCAGTACACACCACCTCCTCAGCCAATCAAAAGAAAATCTCATCAGATGTAAGACGAGGACAGCCCATGGCTTAGCATAATAATCACTAAAAATCTTTCAGGTTCCCTGTTGAAGGTGAAAGGCTAAACACTACTCCTTAACTAACCAAAACCATAGAAATGATAATAAGACCCCTTTTAGCTCGTGAACTTGTATATTAAGAAGTCTGGCAAGTCACCTGCAAAGACGAATATGTACTCTGGAAATTGACCACCTCTCCTCCCATCAGATGGTGGAGAGAAGTTACCTTCTTTAGCATATCAATTATTGTGAAAATATCTAGCTTTTTAGTTGAGTCAATGTGCAGTCTTTCTTTTTTGAGAGATTTGCCCATGCCAGGTCTTTCTGGCGTGAATCTTTTTTCTCTTTCTTCTTTTAGCTAATAACCTGTTTTAAAACTTTGCTGACTGCTCTGAAAATCATTGCAGGGTCGAGTCAAATAACCCACGAGTTTGTGTCATCCTATACCTGGCATCCAAGTCACTGAATCCCCAATGAAGAAAGCTTACCTCAACACCAATTTCAACGTTATGTAGTTAACACATGTTGGACAAATTATTTGCAATTAGATACTGTCTCATTTGGGCAAAAAAGGTGTCTGACAGATGAAAAAATTAGGTAGAACATAAGGTGTTTGTAGGTAAATGTGGGACTCTTATTAGAGAGAAGGGTATTCTTGGGCTGTTTTAATTAGCAGGTTCAGGAAGGGCAGCAAAGGCAATTGTGAGCTTTGTCAAGAGATGAAAAAGCCCAGATTATTATACCCCAAGAGTAATGCTGTTAAAGGTTGCAAGAGAATAAATGATAGAATTAGGGTCAATAACAAAATCCGATTCCCTCTTGCCATGGAGCATAGTGTATTAATTGTGTTTTTAAATTTTTCTGTATTTTACTGTGGTTTGGCATCTTGTGAGGGGAGGGGGAATATTGCTCCACCCAGGGCTGGCTAATTCCTAGAGACAGTAGACAACTTGCCTGCTAACAGGCTTTTCCTATGCAAACCAACGAATCCTGAGTTCAAATCCCTAAGCAGTTCCTTTATCTAATTCTCACACAAAGCTAATTTTTTCCCTGCCTTAATTCAACCCAGGACCAGGTTCCAGAAAACTAAGGACAGCCCTTGGAGCCTGGCAGAAGTATTCAAACTAGTCAGTCCTAAGCTGTTTCCCCTGCTTTTCCTTTCCTATGGAAACCCCGCAAAAAGCCATGACCTGTGCTTTTTCCTCCTGGTCCTCCTTCTGCTTCCTGACTGAACTTGGTGCTTTCTTGTGTGGCCCTGCATGGAAAAGCATGCTCCTTTCTCTTCGAAATGTAAGTAATTAACTCTTCTTTCAAAGGCAGTTGTTGCCATGTCTATCACTTTACCATATCTGATTAAGAAAAAATCTCAGGTACAAACCAAGACACATGGTTTTTTTTTGACATCAGGTAATTGAAGGGAGACATGATCAGAAAGACTCTCTGGAAACTGAGTGCCTGTACTCAGTTGATATTCAGGTTGAATAACCTGTCAGTATGGATAGCAACCTCCAGTTGGATGCTTTGTAGTCTGAGCATTCTAAGGAAAAACCAAGAGGCTCTCTAGGGTGAACAGAGAAGGCTAGGATGACAGATAACTCTAGAATAGGCATTAAAAATCACAAGAGTTGTTTATTTGGCATGTACCATGTACAAGGCACCACATGGGGGCCTAGCTTATGCCAATTAAATCCTTGCAACAATCCTACAAAGTAGGTAGTATTAGCACTCTTTTTTTACATTTGGAAAGCTGAGAGCCTTGTAAAAGTTAAATAACTTTATTCCTTCACTTAAGAAATATTCATGGCTTTCCTAATCTGGGCTAGGTACTGTGACAGGCCCCGCAGTGAACAAAACACACTTGGCCTCTTCTCTCATAGAACCTGCAGAGAGTGGGAGGCATAGCAAGCATCCGTGACAGTACAGTAAGAGGTGGAAGGGCCACTCTCAGAACAGTCTGTAGGTCCACCTGACCTGGACTTGATGGTCTAGGTCTGAAGGTAATGACATCTAAGTCTAGGCTTGAAAGGTAAGTCAGATTTGGATTTGACAGGCTAATGAGTGGGGGGGGGGAGAAGAAAGACGATTACAGGAAGGATACAGAAAACTGTAAAGGTGCACACATGCTGATAATAGAGAGATGAATGCTTTCCAGAGCATAGTTTACTTGTGGGAAAGGCAAACTATGTCTGGAGAGAGAGGCAGAAGAAAGGCAGTGAATTACCTTTAAGTCTTGTTAACATTTATGCTTTATTCTGAGGGCAATAGGGAGCCATAGAAATGTTTTTAGTAGAGCAATGACTAGCAGATCAGACTTGTCCAAAACTTACTCCTTAGTAAATTATGCAGACAAGATGTGAATACTTTTCACTATTACAGAGATTTGACATTCATTCTATAGAGCAATTTTACTCTGTAAAGTATTTGGTGAGGTATTTCAGACATACTGTTCCCAGGACAATATTTATTTAGTTTTTGCAAATAATGTGCATTCTAAAATATTTCCATTTTCAGTCATACATGAATTTTTTGCCTCTGAGAATTGATATGCTTCTGTATGATGGTGTTTATAAAAAACAACAACAATATCAACACTTTATCATCCTATGGAGTCCTTTATCCTCTGCTGTTATTTAAACAACAATATGTATTGGGTGTCTTTATCCTTTGGCACTATAGATACAGTGAACAAGGCAGGTATGACTCCTGGACTTAGACATCACAGACTGAATTTTATGACCTGACCTATGGAAAAGGGAAAACATTATTATATTTCCAGGAATACTGTGAAGAATGGGTGTCATGTATTTCACATATTTTATAGATTCTAAGGCTACATTATGTATCTGTTATTTTTTGTGTCTCTCCCTTCAATAATATAATCTCCATGTGGGTCAGGACTCTGCCTTGTACCCTGTTGACCCCTGATATCAAGAACAGCATTAAATCTGCTGAATGACCAGAGAAAACTGTCAGAGAAGGGCGAGGAGCCCTTGTTGCATTGGTTTGGGCCAACTGCAAGCTGGGCTTTAGATTTCTCCTTTGCTGATATCAATCACCCCGGGCTGTTGTTTTTCAAAAGCAGAGAGTCTGGAAAGATACAATGAGAATTGTGCTCAAGATTCCCTGTGTTTCTGACCTCTGAAGTTGCCAAAGCTCTTACAGAATTTCTGATAATACAGGTTTCTCTTATTTGGTTTATTTTGAATCACAAAATACTGCTTGGGAACTACAAAATAACCTGAAGTGACTTCCATCAATGCTAGCTTTGGGATGTTTGCCTAAAATAATTGATGCCAACGAAGCACAGAAATCTAACACAGATTTAGTCACTCTTCTTGGGGTGTTGGAACTTTCAAGGGTTGGAAGTGTAAACAAGTCGTTTAAGACTGCTTACAAATAAAACTATTTTAAAATGGTTACACTATGAAAGTCATGAACACTTCTCCAAGACAAGTGAACACAACAAATTGTCTTACTATTATGCAATAGACAGTTGAGGCTTGGGAAAAAATTCCCAGAGACATCATCAAATGCAGATGTGAAAAGTTGTACTGCTTCTTTTTTTTTTTTTTTTTAATTTTTAATATGAAGATGTGGGGTACAATCAGGGTTAGGTATACAAACATTGATCATGCAGGTACCCTTGTTGATGAGGTATGCCCCTCCCTCCCTTAGCAGTTTCCCTCAACTGCCAATCCCAACCCCACTTCCCCTGACAGTTTCCCAGTGCTGCCAGTCGCTTTCTTATAGCATTATAATTGTTTCTTAAACAATGTAGACCAAGGTCCTCTGTTCTAAAGATCTGTAAAATGGCTAAAAAAATGTGCAAGGGCTAATCAAGACAACCACGAGAAAGATGCAAGTAAAAAATGTGATAGAATTTTTTTTTAAAAACACAGAATTGACAAAAAAGAGTATGTACTTCCAGATTGATGTTATACATAATATGTGATTTTAGTATGTGCTCTAAACAAATTAATACAATAAATATTAATATTAATTATTTGACTTTTACTTATATTTGTAAAAATTATATTTTATTTACATTTTAACTTTTAATTATGGAAACTTCAGACATAGGCACATGTAGAGAGAATAGCATAAGGAAACTTCATATACTCATTATCAAGTTTTAATTATCAATTGGCAATCTTATTTTATTTATACCCACATTACCCCCATTAGAGGTGAAGTGAGCCTGAGGCAGTGTGTGATTTCACCCACATTATTTCAGCATTTATCTATAAAGCAGTGGTTCTCAAAGTGTGATCCTTGGCTAGAAACTTCAGTTGTGAACTTGTGAGACATGAGAATTCTTGGGACCTACCCTGACCCACTGAAAAAAAATTTCTGGGGGTGGGGCCCAGAAATCTGTGTTTTAATAAAGCCTTCCAGTAATTCTGATACACACTGGAGTTTGAGAACAACTGCCCTACGGATAAGGACTCTTTTAAATTACAACCACAATAACATTATAACACTTAAAAAATTTCTTTATTATTGACAGTAATTCCTCAATATCATCACATATCTAGTCAATGTTTAAAACTTCCCAATTATTTGGCAAGTCTCCTTATTATAGTTTGTTTATTTAAAACAAGAACCAAATGAGACCCGAAAATTTTGTAACTGGCCGACATTTCTTACATCTTATTAAATTTTTGGTCTCCCTC